CTTTCTCAAGAATAGCAGCTGATTGCATACCGATTTGGCACGCTTTAAGAATCTGATTTATCGCGGTATTAAGTGGACTTGGTGGGCTTCTTGATCTCATACGGAGCAATGCTTTGATTGATGAGGATTGCTTTTGTAATTGCTTATAGTTCAAAGGCGTTTTTGGCTCCCAATCACTATCCCGGCTTCCAGGGGGGGTTGGCGTACGAAGCTGAATGTTGAGCTTTGAAAGCACCCGATCAGGGTCAAAAGGCACTAAGCCAGTTGCCGTGAAGCTATTTTTGATGGTGTTGGGTTTGAAAGCTTCAATTCGTGCGTGTGGGTAGGCCTCAAGGAAGTCTAATTTGTTGATATGGTTGATCCCAAGACGCATTTTGGTTTCAACAAGCTGACCATATGATCGCTTTAACACTGCAAAACAACCAATATCAAGTGGCTGTAAAAGATGTGATGAATGTGCTGGCATACAAATTGGGATAATATCATTTTGATCGCAAATTTCGTCGAATTTTGGTGTCAAATGACTACCATGGCCATCAAGGATCAAAAGCCGATACCTCCCTTTTGTACGAGTGATTGTTGATGGAATGAAAATTTTTTGGAGCCACTGAAGCCCGATTTCATCAGAAGTCCATCCATTTGGGCTAACTTCAAAGAGCCAATCACCTGGTACATTGTCAAACCAACCCTCAATAAAGACCTTGCCTTTGAAAATGATGCATGGAGGCAAGGCCCAGCCTGACGCGCTTATTGCCTCAATTGCAGTGGCCCATTCACGATTTCCAGGTTGTAAAAGGGGTCGCCGACCATAGTATTCAGACCTTGTAATCACTTTTGCAGTTGCAGTTAAGCCCATTGCAAAGCCAGTCTCATCGAAGTTGTAGATATCATCAGGGTCAATGCCATATTGAAGTATTGTATGTTGCACACAATTAAACCACTCTTGAATGATTTTTGGGTCTTCACACTTTGCACGCTCGTAATTATAGCGCCTTGAGAATCGGGTTGAAAGCTCAGAATGCCTTTTCGCGCCTTGAGAATCGGGTTGAAAGCTCAGAATGCCTTTTCACAAAGTTTGTAACCCAATTCTTGCCAACTGTTTGAACTGGGGTAGATCCACGAGCCGCGAGTAAAAGATTGGCCATTTCTTGTACAGCAGTAGGCCGAGGCGCTGCTCCGCGGGAATCCATTGAGAGAATCCATTTTACAAGTGATTCCTCTTCTGTTTGAGACAATCTATGGTTATTGGCGCGTGATTCAGGGCGAAAGACGTCACCAGCAAGGCGGCGTTGTAAAGTAGAGCGAGGCACTTGAAAGTGGTGTGCTGCTTCGCGAATAGAGCTAACTTCTTGATTCTTAATAGCCTGAATAGCTAATAAGATCCTACCCTCCTGCTCTAGTGAATACCGAGAGCTTTGAGAGCGAATTGGTGGCATGGTGGGTGGTTGAAGAAGGAAGGGTATATAAAACCGACGTGTTTCGCGTTTGGTGGCCCACTCGCTTGTGTGGCCCACTCGCTTGTGAATTACGTTAACAACACACACCAAAACAGTTGTACAATCACGTGCTGATTAATAAATGACGTAGTGCGGTAGGAATCTCCGGCATTTATGCAGGCGTATGTCAGCAATGCACACGATCTGTTCTCGAAACACTCCGCCCGGTTGTTACTGGCCACTCTGTTGTAACTGGATGCTACCACGCTAGACTTACTATTGCTGATACTATCACTATAATCAAATACCCTTGTCGTATTCTACTTAGCTCCTGACGATCTGTCTAGTGGGCTTTCTTAGCACTGCATCGCCGTGTTCTTCCCTCGTATCTTATCGGCTTCAGCCCCTCCTCGGAACAACGTGGGCTTCCCCTCAGCGCCAGACGGAGCACGTTAGACACCAACAGTTCATAACCTGCAGAATGGCCACAACGTCGAGCATGCATGTACAGACGCACGATGGCGGGCCGGAGACCGAGCCCAAGATGGTGAATCGACTGAAGGATAGCAAGTCGCCTTATGTGAGAACTGCCGCTTCCACCTGGTAGGATGGACGATCGCGAGACTAAACTAATTGGAATAGGTCAGAGCACATATGCATAACCCAGTGGCATGGCAGATGTGGGATGCAGAAGCCATGGAATTGGCTAGAAGGCATAACCGTCTAGTCTTTCTCAGTATCGGCTATTCAGCATGTCACTGTGTGTAGACCATCGTTGTCGGTTTGCAGTTTGTCTGGCTAATAGGAACCTAGGGTGCCATGTCATGGAAAAAGAGTCGTTTATGTCACCAGAAGTGGCAGCCATTTTGAACGAGTCTTTTATCCCGATCAAAGTCGACCGAGAAGAGAGACCCGACATTGACGACGTTTACATGAACTACGTACAAGCGACTACGGGATCAGGAGGCTGGCCTCTGAACGTCTTCTTGACACCAGACCTGGAACCAGTGTTTGGTGGTACCTACTGGCCTGGACCGAATTCGTCGACCTTGCACGGACAGGAGACCCTGGGATTTGTCGAAATCCTCGACAAATTGAGAGAAGTGTGGCAGACTCAGCAGCAACGGTGTCGCGATAGCGCAAAGGAAATTACCAGACAACTCCGGGAATTCGCAGAGGAAGGGACACATTCTCACCAAGGCGACCGAGAGGCGGATGAGGACTTAGATATTGAGCTTTTGGAGGAGGCCTACCAGCATTTTGCCGCGCGTTATGACTCGGTCCACGGAGGGTTTTCCAGGGCGCCCAAATTCCCAACACCTGCGAACTTGAGCTTCCTTCTCCGCTTGGGGATCTATCCCAGTGCCGTGTCGGATATTGTGGGACAGGAAGAATGCGATAAGGCGACCGCTATGGCGGTTAGCACGCTCATTAATATGGCGCGCGGCGGTATCCGGGACCATATCGGCCACGGCTTCGCCCGGTATAGTGTTACGTCTGACTGGCTCTTGCCTCATTTCGAGAAAATGCTTTACGACCAAGCGCAGCTATTGGATGTATACGTTGATGCGTTCAAAATTACTCATGACCCGGAGTTACTGGGTGCTGTCTATGACTTGGTCACCTACTTGACATCTAGTCCAATTCAATCCGCGGCGGGTGGTTTCCACTCTTCGGAAGACGCGGACAGTTTACCAACGCCAAACGACAGCGAGAAACGAGAGGGCGCATACTATCTCTGGACACAGAAGGAATTGACTCAGGTTCTTGGTCAACGAGACGCGGGAGTTTGCGCTCGCCACTGGGGCGTGCTCCCCGATGGAAACATTGCACCCGAAAATGACCCGCATGACGAGTTCATGAATCAAAACGTACTCTCTATCAAAGTGACACCACGAAAATTGGCGAAAGATTTTGGGTTGGGTGAAGATGAAGTGGTGCGAATAATTAAATCGGCCCGACAAAAGCTGCGTGAGCACCGGGAGAAGAACCGTGTACGCCCTGACCTGGACGACAAAATCATTGTGGCTTGGAACGGCCTGGTTATCGGAGCGCTTGCCAAGTGTAGCGTATTGTTCGATCAAATTGAGAGCTCGAAGGCATTGCACTGTCAAGAGGCTGCAGCGCGAGCTGTGAAATTCATCAAGGACAACCTTTTCGACAAACCCACGGGTAAACTATGGCGTATCTATCGCGACGGCAGCCGAGGCGACACACTTGGATTTGCGGATGACTATGCGTACTTAATTCATGGATTATTGAACATGTACGAAGCTACGTTTGATGACAGCTATTTGCAGTTTGCGGATCAGTTGCAGAGTAAGTCCCAGATATCTTACTCAATGGCAATGACTAATTATTCCCAGGATATCTGAACCAGAATTTTGGCGCCTACACCGGGTCAACACTCGCTGGGTTCTATAGCACATCATCTACGTTGACACCAGGCATGCCGGGGCCTCTTCTCCGGTTGAAGACAGGCACGGAGTCTGCCACACCATCTATCAACGGAATCATTGCCCGCAACTTGTTGCGACTCGCGACACTCCTAGAAGACCAGGAGTACCGGACTCTGGCGCGGCAAACGTGTCGTTCATTCTCCGTCGAAATCCTACAACACCCGTTTTTGTTTGTCGGACTTCTAGACGCCGTGGTTGGGCTAGAAACAGGCACCAGACAAGTTACCGGAGTGTATTGCACGGCAGACATTACCGAAGCAAAATCAGGGCACGAGGAGGGCCTGCTTGATCGCGCTAACACACCGATGTCAGCTCGAGACCTGGTGGCGAAGCAGGCGCGTAAAGAAGCGGGCCTGGCGACGTCGTCGTCGAGCGCAACTGTGGCGCTGGTGGATATCCGGCCGTCTCATGCGGGCGACTTCGTAGGCAACCCTTCATTTTGGCTGCGGACACGGAATCCGATGTATCGTGAGCTGAAGGCGTCGGAACCGGGGAAGAATTATCTACAGGTTTGCGAGGGGGGCAAATGCCGCATGGTGGACGTATAATTTTCTCTTTTCTTTCATTCTGTATAGCTGTAGTCGTTATGATTGGCCATATAGAATTGAATCTTATCCAAGTACTTTGGTACAAAGAATGCGCACTGATCGTTGACGCTTCAAGTAGATGACGGCCATTACCGGAGTCCTAACCGTCAACAACGGCAGATCGGATCTACCGGGATCTGAAGCACTTGGCTGGAATACGAAGGAGGAATGGGATAGGTCAATTGTCAGGCAGCCAAGCATCAAGAGAACCGATTGGAAATCTCGGAGATTAGAAATGCCCTTAATTACCGGTGACCAATGACCAGTAATCAAGACAGTGAAGCAGGTTGATTAACGAGTTAATAATTAATGGATCTCATCTCATGAATCTTGGGGATACGTTGGGCTTCCCGTCGTTTAGCGGTTCTGGAACCGATGGGTTTGGCCAAGGATTGCTATTTGCCGAGAAGTGAAATGAAGGAACAGGTGAAAAATCCTGCGTATGGTTACTATACCGCCGTTACTATGTCAGAAGTGACTCTTCGTATTCAGACTGAAACTGAAACGGTTGGATGTTTTCGAGAATGGAGGGTTACTGCCGGGGGGGGTTTGGGTTGTATCGGCCATTATTCAGGTGTTTGACTTTGCCGGAGGACATACGGACTACGGGGTACAGATTACGGACATTAATAGTCTAGACTAAGTCCATAGTTGTTGGAGTTTGTACCAGTGGCGTGATATAATGCAGAAATAAGTTTTGGTGGCTAACATGCCGGATGGCCTGCACCGTACTCCGTGCTATGTACTCTGTTCTGTACATGGGGGAAAATCCACGAACAATTATGTACATACTATGGAGCACTGTTCTATCAGATTAATATAATCCTTGAACACGAAATGACATGTTCTGGACTCGTGGATTGAAAGAAAGCCAAGCAAAACGGACAGCTCCGGACAGAGGGCAGCAGCGATAATCTCCGAATCCCAATGAAAACGCAACCTGAAACACAGCCTCTTCAGCAACGGGGTAAGTGGAGACAGTGGGATTGGGCTAGTCGTTGCCAAGTTTTGGTGCTTGTTTATCCTTCTTTTACGCATCGCAGTTTGTCTCCGTTGAATATGGGCGCGATGATCTGTGTTTGTTTTATATGGTTCTCGTAGAATTTTCATGGCGTACCACGGGTGTCTTGCACTTGGGTCTCTATAGAATTACAGCTCTGTGCCGAAGAGTACCAAAGTTACTGGAATTACAAAAGCAATACAAACCTGCGACACGGTGGGCCGCAAAAGGAGCGGGATCATCAGCTACTCTATCCAACCAGAGATGGTGCCTGACACAGACGGGCCAGGTTGTTTACTTTGAATGGTTTAGTGTACTGCCAGGGGCTCGGGAATCTTCAACCGTCGCACATGGGGTGTGACAATACAGTACAATTTAATACCGTCGTCATCACATTATTCAGGGGACATCACATACGGGTTTACCGAGTAGAGAAGAGAAAGTACAGAGAGTGTATACAGAATTTTGTCGGAATACTCTGTAGTTCAATGTTGCAGAGGATGGCCAGCCCCAGTACAGGTGCAAGCCAAACAATGGCAGGTAAGAATGTCGAATGGTATGTGGTGGTTGGTCGAGGTCTCATATGGCCACTAGCAGGACTCTATCTGTGTCTATATACTCTACTGGCAGCCATGCATGTACACCACACACCACTCTGCCAGTCTTTTCTTTTCTTTTCTTTTCTTTTTTTTTTTCTTGTGTGTTTATAACAATCTGAGATGAATTGAGGGCTGTACAATGAGAGGTATCATTGTTTCTCCCTAGTCCTCATCCTAACACTCCCCCCCCCGCTCTCTCCCATAATTTGCCTCTTGACGGTCCCAGATCGCACGGCCCCACTGTCTGTACCTGTGTCTCCTTTCCCACACTACTCTGTTGTCTCCTATTTCTTCTTCCTTTTCCCTCTTCCGCTCCCGCTCTTTTCCCTTCCCTTCCTTCCCTTTTCCTCTCTCCAAAGGCAGCTTCGTCCTCTCCTTTATATATTGTTTTTTGTCTTTTTTCTCTTCTGTTGCTCTTTTCTCCGCCTTAAGGTGCACTTTATTTTTATATCTTTTTTTCGCTCTTTTAAAAAAGAAAAATTAAAGTGTTATCCAAGGCTGTCGTTCTTTTGTTTATACATTTTTCACGCCCAAGTACATACTATCCAGCAGATATATCCGCCGTCGCAAGTGCCCAGCGCTTAACAATTCATATCGCCAGCCGATCCCTCATATCGCTCCCTATCCGACGGACTGAACTTTGCGAGCTGTCTTTCTGATTGCTTGCCGTCGTTCCTTTTGACCTACTTATCGACGTTTTATCTGGAACTTCCCGGGGAAGTTTGATTTCACAGTTGACCTGTGTCATTATTCCTTCCTTGCCGCTCGCAAATCCACGGTCCCAGAAAAGAGAGCCTTATATCGACCTTGTTGTCCGAAACCGGTAGAAAGAATCTTCAATTGATATCAACATGCGTTCGACATTGTTGCTGAGTGTCGTCTGTGCGGCCGGAGTCTGGGGTACACCGCTCGACATGGACAAGCGCGTCTACGAAACCGACTGGAGCTATGTCACCCTCACCGAGACCTCCACTGCCCAGCCCGAAGTGGCAGCAGCCACCACCTACGCCCCTGCGCAGGCCGTGCAGGAGACCGAGAACGTTGTCACTGCGGCTCCTGTGACTTCCACCTCCACCCTTCCTCCTGCCCCGGCGCAAACCACTACCTTGGCTCCTGCTCCCGCCAACAACGATAACACCGCCAACAACGATAACAACGCCAACGCCAACGCCAATACCGACAATGGCAACAACGTTGGTAATGTTGTCGACAACATCCTGCCTACGGCCTGGACTTCTAGCTGGTCCACCGAATGGACATCGACCCCCACGCAGGCTCCTACCACCATGTCCTCGACCACCTCCAGCGCTGGTTCGCAGGGCACCAACGCCTACCAGCAAGCCATCTTGTACAACCACAACATTCACCGCAGCAACCACTCGGCCAGCTCCTTGACCTGGTCCGACACCTTGCAGGCTAGCGCCCAGAAGTTGGCTGCTCGCTGTGTCTATGAGCACGACACGTATGTCCCTTTTAGACCTAAATGTATATATTTAAATTTGCTAACCCCTGTGCAGGAGCATTGACGGTGGTGGCTACGGTCAGAACATTGGTTACGGTGTCGAGGAGAGCAACATCGGCCAGATGATCACCAACCTGATGTACAACGACGAGATGGGCTTCTTCTCCGACCTTTACGGATTGGCCAGCCCGCTCATGGCGCTGTTCGACAGCTGGGGTCACTTCTCCCAGATCGTCTGGAAGTCTACGACCGAAGTGGGATGCGCCACCGTCGTGTGTGACAGCCTGGGCAACGTCGATGCCAGCCAATCCCTTCCCTTCACCGTCTGCAATTACAACCCTGCAGGAAACACCGGTGGGGAATATGCCGACAACGTTCTCAAGCCTATCGGACAGCCCATGTACGAGGCATAAATTTGATATGTAAAAATGGAATATATAAAAAGACATGCTTTCCTGGGTCATGTGATTGTTGGGCATGGCTTGTTTCTTTTTGCTATCGACTTTTGAGGAGGTTTGGTGGATGATGGGATCCTCCATCCCACCTGCTGCATCGACTCACTCGGGAGGGTTGTATCTTTTTACTCTTTTGCATCTCTTTCTCTTCTCTCTACCCTTTTCTTAAAGCTTTTTCTTCGCTTCTGTCAAACACCCTTCACGATTTACTCAATGTGAATATTATTTCTTTTCTTTTCTTCTGATCGATATTGGCAAATGTTTTGGGAGTCCTTGGCGCCATAGTGATTGAATTGAGTGCTTACTGGGCGGTTTCTACAATATGCCTGAATGCTTTCTCTAACCTTGAGGATTGACCAACCAAAGTAGCTCCTGAGATATTGGCATGGTGTGGAACGGAGGATGTCTGCAAGTCGTATGTGAATTTTGCGTATCGTGCCCATTACCACAATCTGAGAGAAGATTGTCTTCTTTTCCCTTGCTTTTCTGCACTGAAAATTTCACTTGTTACTATCGATTTTGTTAATTTGTCAATTTTACTTCTCTGGCCCTACGCTTTGATCGCTTGTTTGGCGCTATGCGATTGGTTCGGGAGTCAATCTTCAACCGCGCGCAACATGACGTATCTTGGTTGGGTACTATTTACTATTGTAATACATTTCTGCAGAAACCTCGAGATTTGCCCTTTCCATTTTCGGTCAGTCTCACGCCGCTTTTTGCTCCCTGAACAGCCCGGAGTGTATCTGGAGCAGGGTAGTGCGTGTCCTGAACGATCCTGATTCCTGGGGTGATTCGGGATCGTACCCCGATCGCTCAGGCTGACCAAATCCCCCTCCCCCAAAGGGGCTAGATAAAACGTGCAAAGTCAAGCCTGCAATCTTACCTCACCAAACCGACCCTTTCATTTAGTTAGCGATGCCGTAGAATAGCAAAAAGCCCACAATTTAAAATGTGGCCCGCTTTAAAAGTATTGAAGGCTGCCTCTCACTGCCCCTGAGGTCAAGACCGGTGCCAATTGTGCTATTCAGCCCTGTTATCATGAAACGTTATAACCTTGTACTATGCATATATATATATATATGTATATATTTCTTGATGGCTATTCTACAATAGAGACTAATGACGGCGTCTTAAAGATCCTAGTTCTCTATAGGAAGCATTTATGACTTTTGAGACTTTTATAATGAGCCATATACACAGGCATAATCTGTTATTGGAATAAGAGGAGATTAGTGACTACGGAAGCTGGATCTGGTGCTTGAATCCAATTGAATACCAGGGAAATTGTAAACAGAAATATGGCAATGGCAGCAAAGCACAAGAGAATGCCTATATTAGGATCAGGAAAGGTCTGAATTCTTTCCAAGCCGTGGCTGACCTCTCTCTTGTGACAATCTCAAACAATATAAATTCATTGGTAGACTCTGTCGAAATACTAACATGGAGAAGGAAAGAAAGAAGCTGGGCCTGCCAGCGCTGCGCTATCTACTGTGCGAAGGGGGTTCCTGCCCTATATTCAAACAGGCCAAAGTATACCAACATCTTGCGTTGTTGGTGAATGCCCGTACTCCGTGACATCTCTCTCTCTCTCTCTTTTTTTTTTTTTTTTTTTTTTTTTTTTTTTTTTTTTTTTTTTTTTTTTTGTCATCTCTGATTCCCACCCATCTCCATAGGCAAAGGTATATACATACAATTCTCTCTCCTAGACAAAAAGGGTATTACCACAGTTTTCTATTAGAATGCCACGAAATGCCGGTAGTGTTAGGTGTGTTTGGTTAATTTGTTTTCTTTGGCATAGGGCTACAACCCCGGACACACAGTAGACAGCTTACGCCTGGCAGGCCCTGGCCTGTCTTCATCCTCCATTCTAGTATTCAGTAGATAGTCTACCAATTACATCGCTATTGAATAATACTGTCGAATGGAGGCCGAAAACAAGAATAGATCATTCCATGGGTGTTGACTAGGTCCGCTCAAAAAGTATTGAGAAAAGCACATAACTGTTTTGGCTAAGATCCAGGAAATAACGATAAATAATAAAACTTTTATGATTTGTCTGTCGGTTATATTCATGAATAGGCATACAACAAATAGCCTTAGCGGAAAAGTGTGACGTAGGCCTGGGATCCTTTTCTATTATACCTGACAAACCCCATGATTTTGCAAGCAGGAACTTCATTGACACCTGCTCCCAAAAAAAGAAGAAGTTTTATTTATTTATTTTTGGCAGATCGCCCATGGTTGCTGCAGTGTGCAATGGGCCAGTCTCATTCTGCCTTGCATCAGCTTGTAGAAGACGCTCAATCCGTTTATTGCAGTTCATTCTCACTGCGACCCGGCTCTACCCCAGAGGCACCTACAGCTGGCGGTGAAAAGAGCCCGGAAAGATGAGTGAGGGCTGGAGGCATTGGAGGCAAGTAGAACAGAGGAGATGTTGCAGGGTGAGTAGCATAGGCTGAGATTCAGCTTATACCACACTCACCCTGCTCTGAAAACACAAGAACACTCTGCTCAAAAGCCCTGCTTATACAGGCAATTTGGGGCGAGGCTGCGAAGAAAAGGATTGAAAAGATTATAGAAGGGGCTTTTCCTTGGGAACTCATAGGGACAAGAGATTGCAGGTTAGCTGCCGACCTCGGGTTCATGGAATACGGTCTGTCGTAGTTTTAAAACTCAATATGAACAATAAACTTGATTGAATACTAAAAATAATAATGACACACAGGTATATCACTTCTCACCGACAGATGACCGCCCCACGCACCTTCGGATGGGTCGTCAGGGATAGTAGAAAGGGAGGCGTAGACGTTGATGTCGACGATTTTGATTACTGTGTTGGGGTACTTGGCGCCAGAAGCTCTACTAGGAGGCGCCTCAGTCTTAGCAACGAGCTTCACGTATTGAGCAGGCTGCGATTCGAAGATAGAGAGCTTTATGCTTTTGTTCCATCCCCAGGTTCCGTATGCGACCTTCTTCCAGCTTCTTCCTTCCACGCTGACCAAGACCTCGTGTTTGGCAATCTGTCCACGATCATCCTTATGCAGGAGAGGACGCATGCTGAGGTCGTTCACATTTCGCACCGAGTGCAGGTCGATGACGATGTGGTTCTCTTCACATCCAGTGCTGCTCTCGCTGCTCCAGTGAGTTTCTGCCAGTCCATCCTTTGCATTCTCGCACCTGCTGTTTTTTTTTTTCCCACACTGGAGCATTCCACTGTGAATTTGGTTCGGTTGAGCAGACTACCTCCATGAGGTCTTGCTTGCCAGAGGTAGGCCTCGGGGTCGATGGGACCCTTGGCGGCAGGGACGATATCGCTCGAATCTGTAGCAAAACGAAAATGGAAGACGTCAACATAGTTGATAGCATCCCCCAAAGGAGTCCCGAGGCCCATTGGAGCTTCATCTTTGAACAAGACAACAAACGATGGTGTTGTGTGATGTTCGAAGGAGAAGAGAGAGAAAAAAGAATTCCGTGAATGGGCTGGGTAGAAATATCAGAATCGACATCGGGGACTGCCAGCCAGGCTAAAGATGGTAGTTATCTTGTTTTCCGTGAGATTGAACAGAACGGTTTGGAGTTCAACAAGTAAGATTTCATCTTATCCTTTTCAGTATGTTGAACCACAGTGCTGATGCATCTGTCCAGCTTTATGAAAAAAGAGTCCCAGAACCTCACGTCATTCCATGGTTCGCCTGAGAATCTTGCAGCTAATATGATGGGAAGATGGAAGAATGGTATGTACACTACTCGTGCAGTTGATCTGCGCATCACAGCTCAAGGTTTTTAAACCCCAGATTGTCCATACAGGACGAGCATAGAATGGAACACCCCCCTCCCGTTAGGATCTTTCTTGAGGGAAGGTCATCTACTTTGGCTGAGTGGGAAGCACAAGAAGAATCCAGAATAAACTTCTAACCGAGCATAACTAGTCCGGCCGGATTCGGTAGGTACTGGTTGCAGAATTGTCCGATGTGCCTTCTTCCGAGAGGCTTGCTCTTGGAATCTGAAAATGTGCATAACGCTAGCTGCAAGGTGGACACTCCAATGCTTCCTTGGAACTAAATGCATCGCATTTTCAACGGACACCTTGAGGACTTTCAAACATAAAGGAATGAATCCGCCCTTAATCGGAACCTGATTAATAAGAAATAAGCAGGACCAGGGAGCCAGATCGAATTGCAGATGGAGCCGTCAAATATGCTTCTGCCAATGAAACGTCTCATTCAGACTGGGAAATACTCTGTGACGGCTAAACGCCGTATCAACGGCCGAGGTAGACAAACGACGCCAACATGCTGAACAAGGCAATATGAACAAACGTCAAGCGTGATAAGGAATAACATTGGACTGATTAGGCAAGTTCTACCAGTCCGATTATATAGGCTGGCTTGTACGCACGTTTAGATAGACAAGCACTGTAGCATTTGTGTACGCGCATATAGGCGAGAATAGACCAATATCTTCGTTAAAACTAGACCTCTCCATGTACGGCCTCGCTAGTCGTGGATAATCAACTCCACCAGACCTTCTGTCCCCGATCCCCATTTCATTGGTTATGAGCCCGGGCTTGCCATATTGACGTCTTAACAAACGCTTTGGC